ACAGGAAGAGAACCAATGATTTTTGTATATCTCCAAAATAAGTTTTAGGAGCGTGAGCGACAATCATTTTTATCCTATAACTTTAAAACCTTTTCCTTTCCTTTCTTCTAATCTCCTGTTTCGCAGATCTCTTATTAGTTGTAATTCTTTCAACTCGTTAGATTGTTTCACTGTGTCGCTTATACTCTTTCCCGATTGAGCCGTGGGCTTTCGCTTCGGATGAAATAGGTGATTTGTTGTTTGAAACAAAGCTAGCTACTTTTGGAATTATTGTTTTACCTAGAGAAAATATTGATGAAAAGATACCGTCGCCCGAATAATGAGTTAATTTGGTCTGTTTTCTAGAAGTTTTTTAGACTAAAAAATAACATTATTTATAACGAGGCTATTAAAAAAACCGGATGTGAAGCGAAACAAGGAAGTTATTTTATATAAGGGTATTTTTAATATGCTTTTTTGATGGAATGTAGGAATTGATTGAAGGTGTTTTTGGTGTAGGAATTTATGAAATGTAGGGTGTATAGGTGTAAGAATTTATTAAATATAGGGTGTTTAGGTTTTTTTAGTGTAAGAATTTATGAAATGTAGGGTGTTTAGATTTTTTGGGGGGGCTTTCCAATATGGTTGCACTTTTCCCCATGGAATGAAATGGAATTGGGGGAAAGTGCGACCATATTGAAAGGCCTTATACTACTGTCCGAATGCCTACCACAACCAGTCTCCAGACAATCACTGCGTTCAAATCTGTGTTTGCTCGTCATGGCATTCCGACCGAACTATTTACGGACAACGGACCTCAGTTCTCAAGTTACGTTTTCAAAACGTTCGCGTCCGATTGGGATTTCGTTCACAACACATCAAGTCCAAAATTTCCACAATCGAATGGTCAGGCGGAGCGGTGTGTTCAGACAGTGAAGAATCTACTTCGAAAAGCAGACGAATCAGGTTGAGATATGTACACTAGCCTAATGAACTATCGGGCATCGCCAATCGATGGTGTAGGACTTTCGCCATCTCAGATACTCATGAACAGACAGTTGCGTACAAAGTTACTTATTACATCCGATCTATTGAATTCCAAAGTTACGGAGTCCCGTAAACCAGATCTTATTGCACGTCAGCAGAAACAAAAATTTTATTATGATCGCCAGTCAGTACCGTTACCAAGTGTTAAACCAGGCGAAATCATTCGCGTACAGAAAAAACAATGGGAACCGGCCATTGTTGATCAAAAGCTACCTGAAAGATCATATATAGTGCGCATCGGAAATAACAAGTTATATAGAGGGAATCGTAGACAACTACTAAAGACTGGCGAGACTTCGTTGCCGAGTACCGCTCGTGATGATGCCGACATTATATTAGATAATCCACCGCAACCGCCTTACAACGACATCATCCCGACTTCACCGAAAGCACAAGAGGGAACACTTAACTCTCTACTCCGAGAAAACCGACCACAACGAACATCGAAACGACCAAAACATCTTGAGGACTATGTTTGTACATAAACTGTTTTTACATGTTATTTTCTAATCAAATAGATTGTAATGCATATATTTTGTTTGTTCTAGTCATGATCTTTTCAGGGACGGGGAAGTATTTTATAAGGGAGATGTAATGCTATTCAGTTTGTTTACATTTTTACAAAGGCGATGCAACGTTATTTTAGTTCTTATTTATTGTCTAAACATAAGCGATTTGTAAGGACATGTAGCGACCTTCAGTTAATAAACCATTGTTGTCGTTTATTTCACAATTCATATTGATGAGATCTTGGATAAGTTCGAATTTGACGATCTTTCGACGAACGGTTTTTGAGATATTGCCCTTGGCTTAGGAAACACGCATCAAAATTTGTTTGTGAACACAATAGAGACTACAGTTTTCAACTGATTTTAATGAAATTTAGTGTGATCATACATATTAATGCGATCTTGGTCAAGTTCGAATTTGACGATCTTTCAATAACGGTTTTTGAGTTATTGCCCTTGATTTGGGAAAAACGCGTCAAAATTTGTTTGTGAACACATTAGAGACTACAGTTTTCAACTGATTTTAATGAAACATAGTGTGATCATGTATATTGATTGGATTATTGATATTGATTT